CAATTATATAACCATCCATCCAATTATACATTCATCCATCCAATTATACATCCAACCATCCAATTATACATCCAACCATCCAATTATACATCCATCCAATTATACATCCCACCATCCAATTACATCTGACCATCCAATTATACATCCAGCCAACCAATTACACATCCATCCATCCAATTATACATCCATCCAATTATACATCCAACCATCCAATTATACATCCATCCAACCAATTATACATCCATCCAACCAATTATACATCCGAACAACCAATTATACATCCAACCATCCAATTATACATCCAACCATCCAATTATACATCCATCCAATCATTAATTAATTAACCAATCCCTCCCTCCCTCCATGGGTAAAGGCAGCTGGTCTCCAGTGCTCGGTGGATGAGGGGCAGGTCAACACTGTGTTAAATCAGGTACAGACTCACAAACCTCAAAAATCATCCTCTGAAGTCCAAAGCAGAAGGTGGAACCAAACGGGTTGGTGTTATTCGCTGATGAAGACCTGTCAAACACAAGAAAACTCTGTTTTGTTCTAAGAATAAAACATGTGATCTTCTGAGCCACACCTGTACACTCACCTGTGGAGCACCACGGGTTTCTCCATGGGATGACCCAACAATTCCTGAATCTGATCCCACTGAAACACAAACATCACATTTAATTCAAGCTGACAGTTACAAAGTCGGCCCTTCTGTCAGAACATATCGGCTGACATTAACCAGAGAAGGTGAATGTTTTGATTTCAGAAAGCGTACCGTCACTCCCTCACCTTGCTGTTCGTCGTTAAGATGCACTCCTCTGTCTGAGAATTGGTTCCTTCTGAAGAACAGAAACAACGAGAGGTCACAGGGAGGTCGGACCCTTTGGTCCTGATGGAACGTACGACTGAAAACAGCCTCACCTTTTTTGATGACGAGTGGAATCTTAAAGTCACATCGATGATATCTGTGATGAGGAAAAAACAAGCTCAGATCAGCAGAAACAACAACAACGACGGGGGAACAACGGGACGTAGTTACATGTTGAAGTTGTAATGCCCGGGGTAGTTGGTATGGAGGACAAACTTCTTAACCAGGTGAGTCGTTGAGTCAAACAGGATGTCCTGAAAAATAAACAATCATTTGATCAGACGTGTCTGATCAGCTGTGAACACAGTAAACAGATGAAGACATGCTTCTGTTACGTTGCACCAGACGAGTTCAGCTTGTTTACTTTCCTGACCCTCCCCCAGAGAGACGGTGACCCACAGAGGTCACAGAACAAACAAAGTCCAAACTGAGACACAGACTCCTGTTTGACCCAGTCAGGCCTCAAAACCAGAACCAGCCGAGACGTTAAAACTGAAAAACCTCAGAGCCATAAATATGTGACCCGTCACATCGAAACCAGGGTTCAGTCCAAAAGTGGACTGTGGAGAAACAGGCAGATAGAGGGTTTTGATATAAACATGTGCAAAAATTGCATTTTGTCAAAATATAATCAATTAATGCTTTAATGAATGAATTAATTAAATTAATGTGAATGAACTGTCTGAAATATAATCCTAAAAAATATTTTAAAGCATTTTTGTGAGCCGTAGCAACAAAAAACCTGATTTTGAATTTTTCCCTGTGAGTTAGCAATGTTTTTGTTTCTTTCCAGCTGGGAAATCAAAGAATATTTGAAGTTTGCTCTTTATATTGACAGCAAAAATTACTCAATATATTTACATAAAATTAAGATTCAGACCAAACAGTAATGTTTTTATCAGAACCAACAAGACAAATTAAATCATATCTCTGGAAAAGCTGATGATATCAGGATGATCCAGGTTTCAAAATGTAGCTTTTAAAGCAGGAATCTGAAACTGTAATCAGGTCATTTTGACCAAATTTGACTTCATCCTCATTTCGATATGATGGGTCACATATCTGAACCCACCCGGGTCCAGGTACATTTTACTGATAAAATCTGTCTAAGATGCTAAAAAACACAAAGAAAACTTTACATAGGTTTTGTGAAACCAGATGGGGACACCTGGTCTCCAACCTATGGCTCTGGGGCCACATGTGGCTCATTTGTTCCTTTGTAGCTTTAACCAAAAACATTAAAATGAATAAAAATAATTATAACAACAAAAAAAAGGCTTGTTTTAGCTGTTTTCCTGCAATGTTTAAATAACATGTCTAACTTAATACAAATGAAACAAGGAGCTAAACATGTTAGCAGTTAGCCTTTTAGCGGTTTCCTTAAAGCTCCTGTGATGTGAATATCCTTCATATACAAAAATAAAATAAAAGAAAACATCTTTATATTTAAGAAACTTGGAATAAAACACACAATTTTAATCCAATTTCCTGTCACACAGTTTGCTCTTTCTGATATTTAACAGAAAATTAAAGATGTGAACAAATTGAAGGGTTAAATAAAGAGACGCACCACTCCGAGGGTGAAGTAGTTGAAGAAGTAGTCGTTACATTTGGAGGGAACCTGTTTGTGAGGGGATGGAGAGTGGATCTTCATCTGAAACAAACAATATATATTTATCACAAGGTGGCCTTCTGATTTATTTATTGATAAATCGGAGGTAACTGTGTGAAGAGTGCTCCTGCCTTGTCCTCTGACTTGTAGAAGACTTTATGAGGCGAGCCCAGAGCACCCAGAACGTCCTGACAGGAATCTCCAAAGAAGATGCTCCTCTCCAGGAACCGGACTTTAGAGTCGGCCATCACGCCAGGACCAGAACCTGCAGAACATAAATTAATAAATAAATCAAACAGATGTGTGCTCTGCAGAGCCGACGCAAACCACTCAGCCACGCAGGTGTGTTACCTGCAGTGAGGAGGCGGAGCTTAAGCCCCAGAGGACCTGCTCCGTCTCTCAGGACGTCCACGCACTCCGCAAAGATGTTCCCGAAGAAACAAGCCAGCGGCATCGCAGGAGCTCTGAGGACAGAAAAATAACACAAAATGATATTTTCTACTTTTTTATTCTTTATATGTTTGTCACAGATCTAAGATGAATTAATCAACGCACACTATTGTGATTCATTTCTCATCAAAGTCATCTCAACTTTGTCTTGCTTCTCCTCCTGCATACTTTGTCCTACAGCTGCCATTGTAATTTATATCTGTAAAGCTCCTGTGCCAAATGATGGCTATGCCTTTTGGTGCCTGTAAAACTTAGTTTTTTTTTTAAATATTAATGTTTACTAATTTGTAATGGGAGTCAATAGAGCCTTGTATTGGTCCAATGCTGACCCCTGCTGTATCTACTCAGTACTGAACCATAGTTTAATATTTAATCTCAATAG